TTTACTTATTTGATCACCATTATGTATTTGACAACTGAGGAAGATCTATCAAATTAGATAGAAAACATTCCTATTTATTAAAACTTATTTTGCTGGAGTTTCTGTAACATGTGAATTTTTTTCTTCTTGATATTTTCTCCTGTTCTGAAATAATTTCTTTATAAAAAAAAAGACACATTATCAGTAAAACTACGAAAACTTACGTATTAAAAAATTTTAGTAGTTTTAAAAATATCTAGACACTTTTCTGTATAGATATTTCTATATTATTTAGTCTAATTATGTAATTATTAAAATTATTAATAAGTATAATTTTATAATGAAAATTCATAGAATCATCAAACTTCTTTAAAGCCTAAGCAAAATACTGCAAAAATACACGATTTGTCATTCATTTCTTAATACAATCCAGACAAGTACTTTTTGTAAGATTAAATATTGTATAATTAAATAATATTTTAAAATCAAATAGAAACTGATTCATCTCAAAGGAAAACTAGCCTTATAAGTTTGGCTTCCCTGTTACACACGTTGCATGTTATGCAGTAAAGATGGCTTTACAGGCAAATTATTAGAAAATCTCAGAAAAAAAATTGCAAAACAAAAAATATTTTGTTGTGCAAATTTTTGCTGTTTGAATAAAAGTAATGAAATGTTCAATTAAAATGATAATTAATACTTTATTTTATGATTAAGGTAAATTATAGTGCAAAAACCAATTTGATAAAATGCTAATTAAGTTTTACTTCACTAAAATCAAAAAAATTTCAAAACTAACACTAATGATTCTTTCATTATTACAGAATCTTTACAATTCAATGTAAATTATCTTCAAAAAATTTTAATGTAAAAAGCATATGAATTTATTTATGCTATAAATAAGTTCATCTAATTTCTTACTAAAAATGAAATGTGTTTATTTTTAATAAATGAAATTTAATTCTTCAGAGAAATATAAAACCATATAATTGTTATTGTTAAGTAAAATAAAATACATTAATATCTGTTGTATTTACTTGTATATTAAAATTAAATAAAGAAAATCTGAAAGAATATATAAATTAAACCCATTTTTCTTCATTTATAAATACATTTTATAGATAAATAGATTGAATTTTTTTCATATTTCAGATGGAATGATACAAATAAAAAAGGACAATTAGATAATCTAGAAAATCCAGTAAAAACTATTTCAAGAACATGAGATAAGTAAATTGACTAAGATTTTGTCAATCCATCAAATCAACAAAGAAAGTATATGCTAAACTACAAACATAATTGATACAATATCAGGAGTCATGGCTGTCACTCACCATCAAGTAAAAAAGTCACTGACATATATTACTATATTCAATTAAATTATTTACACATGAATCAAATATTAAGCAATTTAATTAATTAGTTAATGATTACATATTCATTAACTGTTTTGGAACTAATGTTTTTCATTATTCAAAGTGCTTTCGAGTTCCTATAATCCATCCTCAGAGAAAGTATGCTAACATTGAATATCAAAAAATGATACAACTGTCAAAAATAACAGTTCACACTCAAAATCAGACAAAAGAGTAACAAAGAATTACACAAGAAAAATGTTTAAACTCTTAATACACAATTTATGTTAAAATACAAATGTATTTAAACATTCAGTGTATGTAAATGCTATGTTGTGTTATGACTAATTTCTGATGTGAACTATTTTTGACAGTTGTACATTTTTTGATATTTACTATCAGACTATGAAAATGAATTATAGTATCCCAAAAGATACTTAAAATAAAATGAGAAAGAGTCAAGAAGAAAGAAGAGGAGAAAAAGTAGTTAATGAATAGATAAGAAAAAACTCCAGTATTAAATTAATTTGATTTATCAATTTAGCAAATATTGTTTTAGTAATCTTTTTTATAAAACTACAACAGAAATTCTTTGTTTTAATATAACAAAATGTTTGACATCCCAACATAACATGCATATATCAAAATTTTTATTCAAATAATTAAATGACTTTTACAGAATTAAAAAGAAAAATGTTAATAATTTGAATCCAATTATTGAAATGATAATTAATTATAAAATTCAAATGAAAAATGAATATTCTAATAAATTATTTGCTCTTAAATTTTTATCTGTTTTAGCAGAAAATCAAAGAAATTATTTTAAAAAATGTTATTTATTAAATTTTACTGACGAACGAACTGGTCGCGCATGCACGACGTGGATTGTGTGAATCCATTCGAACCTACAACTCAAATTCAAGCTTTAAACGACATGATCGAACCGATTTCTACTTCTAACGGATATCGAACGTCTTTATAGAAACTGATTGGAACCTGAAGCAGAGCCCAGAAGGGGTTCGAAAATGTTTGTTTATCGATCTTTTGCATGATCACACCGTAAATGGTTCGGTGTGTAAATTTTTTCGACATCAGGGACTTGTATTTGTATGGTATCACCAATTTGAGCAGGATGAAATTTTCTTTTTGAGGTTTGTAACATTTTTGTTGCTTGCAGTAGAAGATTCTCATTTGCAACCACTCTTTTTATAGAAATAAATTCGTGTTGTTCAGTCAGGGCTTGACATGAAGACACGGAGGGCTGCAGCTCCTCTTCAATATTTTCCTTTGGAATATGGTATTTGTTATGGCCACTGCTCAAATTTTCTTCAAACATATTAACAATTTCTTTGACCTCTACCAAAGCTTATCTGTACTTGTCGACATACACCGGCAATTGTTCAAATTTATAATAATATAACCAAATATTCGGTCTTTCACAGTAGCATATATACTGAATATTTCTTGTTTCTTATATTCTTAAATTAATATTTTAATACAATACAAAATAAATACTTCACAAAATTCTAAGATATAACTTTCTTAAATGATTTTAGGTGAATTTTTTGTGCTTAATATTTTTATACTTGCAATACTAAAATATAGCAAATATAATTTATACTAATTTCATAATATGCATTTATAATTTTGTAGTGAATAAGTAAGAAAAATTCACTCTTTACAGAAATTTCAGCAAATAAGTTTTAATAAACAAAAACATTTTCAACTTAATTTGATATTTGATAATTGAGGAAAACCTAACAGTTAACAAACAAGTAAACTTTGAACAAAAAGAATATAAAAGTCTTTAAAGTATTACAACTATAATTTATTAATTTAATGTTTATTCTTGATTATTTTTACTTTTAATTTTTTTACCTTGGATTTAAATTTTTATATGTTCTATTTTGTATTTCAAATTTCTTTATGCTTTTTGCTCAAAGTTTACTTATTTGATCACCATTATGTATTTGACAACTGAGGAAGATCTATCAAATTAGATAGAAAACATTCCTATTTATTAAAACTTATTTTGCTGGAGTTTCTGTAACATGTGAATTTTTTTCTTCTTGATATTTTCTCCTGTTCTGAAATAATTTCTTTATAAAAAAAAAGACACATTATCAGTAAAACTACGAAAACTTACGTATTAAAAAATTTTAGTAGTTTTAAAAATATCTAGACACTTTTCTGTATAGATATTTCTATATTATTTAGTCTAATTATGTAATTATTAAAATTATTAATAAGTATAATTTTATAATGAAAATTCATAGAATCATCAAACTTCTTTAAAGCCTAAGCAAAATACTGCAAAAATACACGATTTGTCATTCATTTCTTAATACAATCCAGACAAGTACTTTTTGTAAGATTAAATATTGTATAATTAAATAATATTTTAAAATCAAATAGAAACTGATTCATCTCAAAGGAAAACTAGCCTTATAAGTTTGNAAATACTTTTAATGTTCTAGTAGATATTAAAAAAATAATAATGTCTAAGAAAGTCTAAGAACCTGAGAGAATAAAATAAGATTGTGAATCTAGATGTATTAAATAACATGGCAATTTAAAATTTTTAAATATTCACAAATACAATTTTATTAAATGAAATGCAAATCATTTTTTTACAGGAATGTCAATTCTGTTTGAAAAAAACTTTTCCAAAAATCAGTTTAAAAAAACACTTACACAACGAAAAATCTAGCTCATGAAACAAAATGATGGAGAAAAGTAAACATTTTCAATTGCCTTTAGCAATCATCAGGACAATTTTGGATATTTAATATTAGTTTTTTTCTCCCGATACAAATGCGACCTACAACTGCCAATCAGACATTTGTTTTAAATTTTAAATTATTACATTCCATCATCCATTCTATTCTGATATCCATTTCCGGATAAGTTTCTTAACTTAAAGATGGCTGCTAAAGGCAATTGAAATGTTTGTTTTTCTCCATTGTTTTGTGTTTCATGAGCTGAATTTTTGGTTGTATAAGACTTTTATATACTATCCAGTATTTAGTGCATTTATTAAAAATCAGTTATTTCAACAAAATTCATTATAATATTTGCTAAAATTCTAATTAGATAAAGTTTACAATTGCTAAAAGAAATCTTTACAAACTTATTTGGTTTTAGATAATAATTAAATGAAAGATATTTACATTCTAGTAAAATTTTGAACTCAACATTTCCTTTTTTTTTTTTAATTTAAAATGCTATAATATATTNACATTATACGTGAGAATCGAACCCGAGAACTCAAGCTTATGAATCGGACTCGTTACCACTCTGCCACAGAATACTTGAATAGAAGTACGTATAATTTATATATAAAGTGCTAACAAAACTTTAAGTTCGATTTTCTCGATTATATTTGAGTATTGCACTTTAGTATTTTACAGATAGTACACTAACATCGTGTACTACCTCTACACCAAAGATCATCAAAATCCATTACCCCAAAGCCGTAGGCTCTCCTTGTAAAATCCTTTTACTTTCAGACTTTCCAGCACATCCTTAGTACTTGAGGATGGGCTGAAAAGCTCCAAACATACAAGGATTTTAGTGAAAATTTAATTGATTTGATCTTAAAAAAATGTGTTCAAGGAATTTTTATATAATGTGAAATACAAAAATTTATTTTTATCATTATTTTACCTGACAGATTCTGAATCCCTTTTTTGGACAGATCTGCTGGAGTTTCATTATTAAATGACGATGATGACGACGACGACGTCACAATGTTTGGATATTCTGACATATTCAAAATTAAATCAGAGTTTAAACTGAAAAGTAAAAATAAAAAAAGCATTACTATATAAATTATATATGTAAAGCAAATAATTGCAATAATTCACTACAAAAAAAAAAAAAAAAAAAAAATACTATTTAACAATTATTATTTTTACAGTTTAGTCTTTATATAATTTAGAGTTTTCAACTAAATGTCAAATCATCTTACACAAATATAATGTTACTTAATATCTATTAAAAATGTAAAATGTTTCTGCTAGCTAAATTTTGTAAAAATATTGCCTTATATACAGGATATCTCATGTAAAACTGGTTCTGCTCACCAACTGAATAAATTAATGTAATCACCTTATTGGGAAAAAGAAACAAATGAAAAAAAATTAAATTAGACAATGAAACTATTTGAAAATTTAGTTTTATTTACAAAATATTATGGAAACTTGCATAGTAAATGCTTCATCATTTAAGGCTGTCCTGTTTTCAATCAGTGAGAGTGGACCAGTTTTACATGGGACACCCTATATCAATGATTCCCAAATGGGTGCTACTTTTGCTTCTTTCCACATCCAAGGGACGAGAAGCAAGTGGGTGGCAGGAGTGCTGAAGGCAAAGTTCTGACTGAACGATGACCATATGTGAAAATTGGGATTACTGACAACCTTTCTCTTTTCTCTATTAAAATTGGTATGAAGAAACATTGCATTTAATGCTTTCCAGATGTGGAGGTCAATATCCAGTAAGGACTCAAAGTGTGAGATTTTCCAACAACATTTCCAAACCTATCTCATACAAATGAAAATTGGTTAGGAGATAGTGGGTGTAAGTTTATGAAACCAGGGGGTTGTGGCTCAAAAAAAGTTTGAAAATCACTGCCCTATATTTTAAAATTATTACAATAATAAATATTTAATGATTAAATTTAAAAAAGGAACAGCTCACAAGAATTGATGAATGCATAATGACATTTTCTAGGTTTCAATATGAAAATGTGATAGCAAGATTCTTTTTATCTTAAATCTTTAAAATATTCTACAAACTATCACATAATTGACAATGTTATTACATAAATGATAAGTTTACAATAGTCATTAAAATATGAATATACACATTTGAGATCCACATATCCAAGAATGAAAGCAGAAAGTTTGATATTTCTAAAAACACAAGTTGCCAAACTATGGTAAAAGCTGTGTGAACCAGTATTGCACAGTATCAAATATTTTTTCAGTTTGGTAGGTTTCCATTTTAAACAGGTTTTCCTTGACATAGAAAATTGCTCTGTTCTGAAGAATTTTTCCCATTTTGGCAGATTTCCATTTTATTCAGGTTTCATGTTGGAGAGGTTTAACTGTACGAGGTCTGTTCAAAAAATACGCAGACTGACATCATAAAACAAAATGTACTTTATGTAGAAGTTACATATCTGAGTATCCTTCAAAGTACTCTCCTTCCCAACGCACACACTTATCCCAACAGTGTTTCCACTTGTTGAATCAGTCTTGGTACACTTCTTTTGTAATGTCCTTCAGTGCCTTCATCGCATTTGCCTTAATCTCAAGAATCATCTCAAATCTTTCTTTCAAGGGTCTTTTGAGTTTGGGGAACAAGAAAAAGTCACAAGGAGTAAGGTCAGGTGAATAGGGGGTGGGGAAGAACAGTGATCGAGTGTTTGGCCAAAAACTCACTAGTTCTTAGAGTTGAATGGGCTGGAGCATTATCGCTTGGTGGAAGTGCGAACTTGGGGCCCAATCTCAGCACCTTGCTCACAAATGTGGGAACTTGTAGGTCATCCCACACGATGAACGGGAATGACAGTGGGCTCCTTATTTGTGGTGCTTGCCTTTTTAGAATCCATTGGAGTTTTCTTAGATACCTCTTCCTACATGATTGTGCAAGCTTCTCTTGCTTGGCAACGAGCCTAGCATTCTCACTCCTTAGGGTGTGCATGCTGATGTCCAACAGTGCATTCTCTACATGTATTAGCTCCACCAATTTGGCATAGACTAGCTTCCTTGTTGATCTTATGGCCCTGTTTAAGCACATGCTTCTAACTTTATCAAGCAGCGGTTCAATTCCCGGGAGGAAGTCTGATCCAGAATAACGACATGGGGAGTACGTTCTTCTTTTTGCATTCCGACAGGAACTCAAATCTGGCCTTAGTAAGGCTTATGAGTGCCCGATCGTAATGATTAGCCAGCATCGCTAATTGTTCAACAAATGGTGGAATATCAGCACCGTAGTAATGTAACACCAACTCGTATCTCTAAACCTTTTACCGGTGCGCGTATTATCTCACTCTATAACAGTTACAAACGTTTTCAAACCGTTACGGTTCTTCTTCAGGTACCGATCCCCTAACGGAATGCAGTTCAACGATGTTACGAAATACGATCCAGAACAATGTCCCGACCCGATGACGTCACTACGGACTTGTGCGTTATGCATGGTGTGCTCTATCTTAGAGATTTATCTATTAGGGCCTGCCAGGCCGTCGATAGAGCAATTTTGTCCTTGTAGTTAATGCAATAACGTCTTTCACTCGTGTTTATGCATATGTATATTGCCTCCAGCCATCTGAGGTGGTTCGTGCGGTGGGTGATGTGAATGACCTTTGCTTGTGAGAATATGGGTTCTATGTCAGGATCCCACAAGTATATCGCAAGAGCTGTGTTGGTTCTTTCATGGTTGATATCTGCTTTATGCTTTTTGATCCAGGTTATTAGGTGGCATTTAGTTGATCCTATGTAGATCATGTTTCTATCACACCTGTGATCAATGACAGGGATGGTGTAGACACCAGGGAGCTTATTTTGGTCTGGGGTGTCCTTTCTGTTCCTTAACAAATCAAAAATCGTAGCGCATCTTCTAAATGTAATACGGATATTCTTTTTCTTAGCTATCTCCTTCTATAAGGATTTAAGTACCGGATTGTATGTGATAGGGATGTTGCTACTAGGAGTATCGTCAGAGAGTTGGTGACAGTTTGCTTCCTGCTGCATTTTTGCATTTAGTTTGTATATGAGCCCGTGGTATCCGTGCTGTTTGGCTATATCCTCTATGCGTTTCATTTCGGACCAGAGTGCCGTTTGGGACGAAAAGTGCATGTGTGCCCTCCTGATCAAGGCTTTGAACACTGCGACTTTGTATTGTGAAGGGTCACATGACCCTGCTGGTATGTATAAACTATCTGAGGTTGGTTTGCTGTAAACAGCTGTGTGGACGATTGAGCTTTCGATTGTCATGTTAATGTCCAGAAAGTGTGCCTCTGTAGGATGTGCCTGGTCTATTTCTATAGTTAAGCTGTATGGGTTGTTATTGATATCCTCGACCAGCGCCTTACTGTTCGGCTTGTCTTTCCATAGTATTAGTATATCATCAATGTAGCGCTTATATATTAGGATGTTGGAGAGGTATTTCAGGAGAAATTCTGACTCAAGTTTCGTCACTACTATTTCACAGAGGTCTCCTGCAATGGGGCTGCCCTTTGTTGCTCATACGTTGTTCCTTTGAATTGGAAGAATGAGTTGTGACACAGACAATGTGCCAGTTCGAGGATGTGCTGATGGAAAGTGTTGTCATTTACGATGCTAAATAGGGTGTCCCTGATGGCACAAAATACTGGTGGAAGTTTAATAGATGGATAAAGTGACTTAAAGTCTAAAACTGTGATGAAACAAGGTGGTGTAGGTAATTCTTTCACTATGGAAACAAGGTCTCCTGGAGTGGTGATGGAGTACGGATATCTTTCCAGGAGGGGTGTCAGCATCCGGTGCGCGGCTTTCTCCAGTTTAATGGTAGGTGCCCTAGCTTTATCAACTACAGGTCTTAGCTCGCACCCCTGCTTATGAGTTTTTGCGAACGCAAACATTCTAGGAACCTCTGGTGCATCGGTAATGATATCTTTTAGTCCCAGCAGTTTCGCTAGTTTCGTATTGGCGAAGCGTTTAATCCTTGTTTGTAAATTGGCAATGGCGTTGCTGTTAGCGATGCTGCATTGCATATGGTTGATGTGTTCTTCTAGTAGTCTGTTGTAGGTGTCTCTCTTCATGAGTACTAGCGACTTGTTTTTTCCACTCTGACCAGCGTGACTTTGCACTTCCGCATCCACTTACGCGTACACTCTAGATTTGCTCTCAATTGCCGCTCTTCCTGCAACTTCCCGGATTTTTTTTTAGGGTGTGTGTGGCTTTCCATCAGAAGTATTCTTTCACTCTATCTGGACATCCCAGCAACAGCGCCTCAAGGTCGGGGATAGTGTCGTGATGGAGAAACCAATCGCCATTCCTCCACATTTCTGGCCTTTCGCGATGGATGGCGTCCCTCAGATGTTTCAGAACTTCAATGTAGTAAGTCTGTTTCACTGTGGAACCTTGGGGGGAGGTACTCATGGTGAACAACACCCTTAGCATCAAAGAAAACTGTTAGCATTACCTTGACATTGGATCGAACTCGACACGCTTTTTTGGATCTGGGGGACGTTTCACCCACCCACTGGGACAATTCAATCTTTGTTTTAATGTCATAACCATAAACCCGTGATTCACCACCTGTTTAACAGCAAGTCGTTGCTCCATCAGGTCATTCATTCTGAAATCCGACAAACAAAAAAATCATACTTCACTAAAAACCGCATAGCTAATCAACAAATAAAGATACAGGTAGCCCTCAGTTTATGCCGGTTCAATTTACGCCAATTCACAATAACGCCGCTGCACAATTCGCAGTTTTGAGATGTAATTCCCCGATTTTCCCTATGCTAGACTAATTTTCATTTCAGTGTTGACATATTTGCCAAGCCACGACATTGTACATTCGTTAAAACAAAGATTTTTATTGAATATAATTATTTTTTCTGTTTAATATTATTGGTATGTATACATTTGTATTAAATTAATATTAAAATCAGTGCCGTAACTAGCCATTCCTGTGCCCTGTGCAGGAATTTGCATTTATGTCCCTTAATTAGGTTTGGGAAAGTAATAAAACAAATACATGCATTTTGGGCCCCTCTTCCAAGTGGGCCCTGTGCCAT